CTGGATAGATGTATTAATTCATAGTGACAGAGACTTATGCCCCAAACAAAATAACTTTGTGCCAAATGATTAAAAGATCTGCCTACATTTCTTTGTTTGGACAACTAGCACAAGAATTGAATAGCACAACATAAATTCCAGTGAAGAACATAAATTTCTATGTGATACACTTTCTTGAAATGGCACTGGTTGTGACTGAATTTTTTCGTATTGTGCTAAAATCTTCTCTGCTTCACGTTCACAGGCAAAATGAAAACTCAGGCAGTTTAGTTCATAGTGGTACTATTTTAATGATATTTTCCATAAGTAAATTGTTTATCAGTTTACAGGTTTTATGAGTTTGACTTTTTAAATTGTCTTTTGTCACAGATTCTTAAAATGTTTGTATTGCATATATCCAGAAATGAATGTGGATATTGGGTGCGGGGGGTTGTTTCTCTTAAAGCAGCTTAATGCGTGTTGTTTTAAATACAATTATTTATGCAATCTTATGTCCAAAAATTAACAACAAGGTGAATCTTAAGTTTGTGTACAAAGAGTATATTTAAAAAGAAAAATCTGGTCTTTGCAATGATTTGTGCCTTCTTTTGCCAAACACGGATTGGAACTAGTTGTAGGCCAGATTTTAGAAATGTAGCTAACACAATGAGGCCTGTCTATCCACTAGAGGTCGGTCTTTCAGCATATTAACTGCTTGCTCATCAAAATCTTCCATTTTGATCTGATTTGATTCAACTTAATGATGTAATAACCACACTGAGTTTGAGGCAGCTTTATTTTAACCAGTATTGCATATTATGATTATTCTGAGAACTCACTTTGCTTACTGTCACTCAAATGTTAAACACCCACTTTTATCTCCAATTTTGCACATCTTGGGTGAGCAGAATATGCATCATCTAAGAGCAAACAAGGATAAAATAAAAATTAACAAGAGAAAAATATATTATTATATGCAGAGAACTATGTGATATTAACCTCATTTAAACAATTGTAAGCCTGCAAATTTGGGGTGAATGGTTTCTATACTGGCATCTTACCAAATGACTTGTCAAAGCAGTGTTTACATCTCTATACAGATAGTGAAGATTTCAGCTTTTAAAGGCAAAGGAATGTATATGTGTTTGCATAATATATGTGCGATCTCTGAAAAGTGCTTGTAACAAAATTATAGTTGGATTTCTTATTTTCATAGTACATTAATAGGGCAATCCTGTGCATGTGTATTGGAATGGGTTTTGTTCAATTCAGTAAAATATATTATCAGATAATGATATATAAGCGTGCAATCTGATTTCACAATCCTAGCATCCTTACTGCAGAATAAACATTAAAAACAGTAAGATTCATATGTAAATAAACATGCATAGGATTGCACTTGAGTGTTCTTGAATAGCTGAGGTATGTGTCCTGCTGAAATATTCATCTTTTAGTTATATAATAGAATTCTAGTATTTATCTTTTCACAGAGATATGAAGTTTACATGAAATATCACATGATGACTTTATCATATCAAATATAAACATTTAATATTTATCATTTAAATATCTACATTAAAGTTGCTAACTTCTATTTGTTATTGGATAGGAGACTTAAAAGTATTACCATGACACCCAAAAATGTCCTACAATTGTGTTTATTAGTATCTTCATATCAGGAAAGAACATTCAGGCTAGAGATTTAATAATGCATCCAAATACTTGTATCAGTCATGTATATTTTCTTTTATTAACATTGATACAAGCATAATAATCAAAAATGTGTCACTGTGATATCTTTCAGGATTTTAACATTACATTAGGATTTCTGTATTAAAATGACCAAATCATCTTGATGAGTGTTTTACATTGAAGCACGAAAGTAAATCATGGAACTAATTTCTTTGTCCTCACAGCATTCATGTAATAAATCATGTTAGCCCTTGTTGTTTTTCAAAACAAACTTGATTTCCAGTCATAACCTAGGAGTGTAGGATATTGTGCTGCAACAAAGAGATCTAGGCAATGTTATAGTGCTATGATTTATAGACACTAGCTTAAATAATTAAAATGGACAAAAGGCTGTAGGACCTTTGAAATGTCCTAAGTCCATGATCATGGCATTTCTTTATTGGCATGCCATTCTGAATGTTTTCGTGGAAATAAGTGTTTTTACATGCAAATGCATGTGTACCAAGCTGTGGAAATTGGTGGGAAAGATTACTAAAAATACTGTGAGATGGAGAGCTGATGAGGCATTGTTATTGTAGCAAAGAAACTATTTTCTTTTGCAATCAGATATTGCTGTCCTAATGAATATTTTAGGAGGAATATTTGCTTTCTTTGGTAGTGTCCACATCATTCTCCCTTGGATGTAGTAATCTCTGTGTCATGGAATGTACTTGAGTGTAATTTCAACATGGCAGAAACTAAAAATATGAAATATGTTGGGCATAATAATATATTTATTTTAAAAAATAAATTTAAATAACGTTTTTGTCCTTGTTCTGCATGTGAAGAGCAGCCCCAACATTGCCACTCAAAATCCAAGTGCAGCCTATATAGCCAGGAAAAAGTTGCACAACTGCTGTAACTAAGATGCCAGTGTGAAGTGGACCCTGATTGTCTGGAAGTGTCTCTTGCAAGACAACAGTCATTGAGCCTGAATCTAAGGCTGCCCCAGTTTTCCTATTAGACCTTTCTAGTTCTCTTAGAGGTTTTCTAGCAATAAAGATGTATAGCTACTAGCTTCAACATTGTGGGAATCCAACAGGAGGACAAGTAGCGTGTGTGTGTGTGTCTGTGTGTGTGTCTGTATACACACACAAACACACTATATTACACATATACATACATATATATACATAAACACACATATACATACACACACATACACCTGTGTGTGTGTATGTGTGTATATATATGTGTATATATTTGAAACTTGAAATAGTTTAATAGGTTTCTGATTTCATTAACTTGAAAAACTTACTGTGAATTGTTAAAATATAGATTCAAAAATAGAGCCTTGAAAACGAAGACATTTTAAAATAATATTTTAAAAGAAAAAATGAGTTCAGCATTGATTGACCTGAAATCAGGGTTCTAATTCCTTTTTCTCTTCCTGTTATGTTGGTAAATTGTCATTTTATAAATCTGTATTGAGAAGTCCAATGTATTGTGATTTGTAAAATAAGATTAAATGAGATTTTATGGAAATTCTTTGATCAGTGCACTGATTTTTTTTTTTAGAACTGGAATATTTGTTTTGCATATTTACAGATGGAAGGTATTTTACAGTGAAATTATATTTTCAAATTTTAAAAAGAAATTGCCATTTCAGACCTGTGAGTAAACACAATTTTGGAAAGTTTTTTTTGAATTGGACTAAATTGTATTCGTAAGATAGAAAGTAAGTAGCAGTTAATGCTAGTTCCATTTATTCTTTAATTTCTTGTATTTCATATTTAAATTGTTGTATTGTTTAATAGAAGAAAACTTTACATTGAATGGTTTTATCACACACAAACATTATTTTTAGTTTCTCTAGTTCATTTTCCACTTTTATTTTGTGTTCCAGATCAAACAAATGAAAATATTATTCTGCAATCTAAATATTGTTTCTAAGGTCAGTGTATATATGTACCTATATACATATGTACATATGGTACTGTAGGAAGTTATCACCTAGCCCTCTCCCAGAAAAATGAAATATCCTAGGAAATATTGAAAAGGCAGAATATTTCTCTGGATGTGAAAAGTAAGAAACATGTTTTAAAAGACTGAATAGCCACCTGCAGCTTCCTGCCCATCCCCCTTTGTCAATGAGCCATTAAAGCCTGAGCTAGTCCACTTTACATAATAAAAAGAGTTCTCCCCT